GAGTTGTATGAGCCCCTAATAAAACGATTAAAAATAAATAAAAAAATAAACCCCATCACTCAGCCCTAAAAAGTATTTTGTTTATTTAGATGCAGTCTTCTGACTGTCCCAGATTGCTCAGGTCTCAGTTCCAAAGCCGCCTTCTCAGAGCGCTCACGTCTCATTAACTATATAGAGTTTAAGCCTGCCCCCGCTCCAGGTGACTCCTCTGCTCCCTTATCCTGCTGGTCGATCCTCCCCCTGATGCACTCATTCAGAGCCAATGCTTGCTGAGGGCAAGGGGCCTCTGCTTTGTGCTCACATGTATCCCCAGGGCCCAACACCCACATGCCCAGTCCAAGGGGCCTTCAAAAACTTCGCAGGAAAAATCCCATTGTCGTTCAATTCCATTTTTTCCCCAAACGTTTGTAAGTGCCCTAGAGTTCCTAGAACTACTCAATATACCTGCTGGCTGGATGACTAACTCCATCCCATGTGTCTCCGAGGTCATCATATTCAAATGTGGTCTGAACAACATGACTGAAATGTTCTCTTTGGCCTGTTAGTTCTGTTCCTTTAGAAACAAAGGTTTGTTTCTATCAGTGGTTCCCATATGCAGGGAACTGCAATTCCAAAACTTCATCAAAGCTTCTTAAAATCTCCGAAATGCAAGCTCTGCTGGTTTACACACATCCACACAGAGGAGCTGGGAACCAGCGCCCCTCCTGCAGGAAGCAGGCCCCTGGTGGGGAGCTTCAACCATAAGCCCAATCTCAGGCCTCCGAAGGGTAGAGCACTTCTCTGGATAGACGTACTTGACTTTGCCTCTTTTGAGACAGTCTAAGGGTGAAATCCACTGTGTGTGTGTGAGTCTGTTGTACTGTGGTGGCTGGTGTGTTGCTGTGATACTGGAAGTTATACAACTGGTATTTCTAATACCAGTCCGGCCACCCACGATGAACAGATTTCAGCAGAATTTCCAGACTAAAATCAGACTCTGAAGAAAAAATAGCCTGTCCCCTTCTAGGGGATTAGTCACTGAAAACATGACAGATAGCAGTGGATATTGTGCTGGACGATGAGCCCCATAGAATGGAGGGCACTCAAAATGCAACTAGAGAAGATACCACCTCCAAATAGAGTTCACCTCAATGATGCAGATGGAGAAAAGCTTTGGGGACCTTCATTTGTTGGTGGGGCATAAGCTAAAACAAGAAGAAAGTGCTCCAAGCATCCAT